TGAGTTGGACCTGACCAGCTTGGGCTACCAGGTCTGGTGCCATGCTCCTTCCTTAAGTGGAAGTGACCTGACTAGGTGGTCATTGTTCTAGGCTGGGGGGGTGGCATGGACCTGCTTCGCATGGGTTAGTAGGCCTGTTGCAGTGTTCCTTCTTTCTTATGTTCTTATGTATGGCTTATGCTCATAGTGGCCCTTATACACCCAACAACAACAACAGAACACCTGTCATTACATACATAATGACTTATTTTATTCATTGTAGAGTATTCTCAACAATTCGCAAACAGGCAAAACTATTTGCATATGTCATGTTTCTATGTTATTAATATTGTTTATTATGTCATATTAGATGAATTGTGATAGACAAATAAGCCGTAGAGTTGATATTATTGTCATATTCTCCAACAACAAACTCGTCTCCCTCTCCCTTCCGCCCGGTCTGCCATACGCCAACAAGTCTTTTCAATAAAGGTAAGTGTGATGTTAAATGTTCATTTATACATTTTATTAGTGTTTTATATTTATTTGTCATTCTTTTCTGCATGTAAATCTATATTTAATCTAGGGAAGTGGCTAGGAAAGTGACCCCTGATAAGGACTTGGTACCTAGAGTCCCTATGGAGGGGGATTCCCCTTCCCAACAATAACCTCTCTTCCCTCTCCCTTCCTCCCTGTCTTCCATCCATCAACAACAGCCTTCAATAAAGGTAAGTGTCATGTGTAATGTTCATTATTTTGTGCATGTAAATCTATCTTTAAGGTAAAAAAAAATTTTTTGGTTGATACTTCTGGGTGTCTGGAACGGATTAATTCCATTTACAGTATTTCTTATGGGGAAAATGGTTTTGGTTTTGGCCGATTTCAGTTTTGGCCAATGGCTCTGGAACAGATTAAACATGAAAACCGAGGGTCCACTGTATAACCAAAATGTGCAAGACAAAACTGTGTTAAACAACAGTCTACTGTATTTCCCTACATAATATCTGCGCACCAAACATTCGCGAATTTTCAAAATTCGCAAGGTTCTTGATCCCCTAACCCTTGCGAATGTGGAGGACCTCCTTAACACACCTCTGGGTTTTCTTCTATTTTCTTACTATTTCTCGTTCTTGTTAATTTCCTCTTATCTCCCTGGGGAAGTGGAACAGAATTTTTTTCCTCCATAACCCATGCAAGTCGTAAGAAGCGACTAAAATGCCAGGAGCAAGGGGTTAGTAATTCATTTCCTGTATACAATACTTATTTTGAAACAAGAAACTCTTCATTTTTCAACCCTGCCACAGTGGGATATGGCCAGTTTGTTGAAAAAAAAAAAAAACAGGGTAATGTTTAGATTATTTATGTGATGATGAGTTCTAAGTAAAGGCAAGCATAATATAGGAGAGGCCTAGGGACATACTTAACCCTTTCAGGGTCAAGAGCCCTGATCTCAAAACTTGCTCTCAAGGTCAAGCAATATAAAAAGAAATAATTTTTCAGGAGGTAATGAGACCAAAAGTACAAAATTTGATGTAAAACTTACGGAATTACGCTTTTTGCAGAGTTAGCGGACTCTGCGATATTTATGCATCTGTGGTTTTGCCAACTTTGCACCAATTTTTGACCAATTCCATTGTTCCAGTCGACCTAACTCATTGCTATTTCACTAGTAATCCTTCTATTCTATCAAGTGAGTACAAGAAATTGGTAATTTGGCCAATTCCACAGAGAATTCAACAACTGACAATTTAAAAAAAGGGTAAAGAATAAACAATGTAGACATTTCTGGCACTAAAAAAATTTCCATTGTTCCTTAGTCAAATCTCCAGGCCCCTCTTATATTATGATTGCTCTCCATCTTGAATTTTTATTCACACCAAAAAATAGAAGATTTACTGTTATGCAGATTACTGCATTATTGTGATAATTGTATTAATAATGTCAGTGCATTCTTAAATGCATATTAGACTGGCCAGTTGGACCCATACTGGACAATGCCATCATTTGTGTACCCTGGAATATTGGCATAAATTGATCATTTCTGCCATTCTGAGATCAATTTTCAAACTATTTTCCATCCTTCCATTTTATCAAATGAGGGCAAGAAACCAAGAATAAAACCATAAAAGCCATACAAAAATACACAGCAAACTCACTGTTTTAACCCTTTCACTGCCGAGACTCCTGCTCGCAAACTTGCTCTCAGTGTCGAAGAATTAAAAAAAAAAAAAAAAAACTTATGAAATGATAGAGAATCTTTTCCTGATGGTCATGAAACCAAAAGTACAAAATTTGATGGAAAACTTATGGAATTATGCTTTCATGAAGTTAGTGGTCTTGGCAATATTTATGCATCAGCGATTTCACCCACTTTGAGCCCTATTCTTGACCAATTCCATTGTTCCAATCGACCAAAATCTTAGCTATTTTGCTAGCACTCCTTATGTTCTATCAACTGAGTATAAGAAATTGCCCATTTACCTATTTTACCTACCCAATAAAATTATCAGAAATTAGTAATTTAGCAAATTTCATACAAAATTCACGGAAGGTCAATTTCAAAAGAGGGTCCAGAATTAACAATGCAAACATTCCTAGCACTAAAATAATATTTTCTCTGTTCATCAGCCACATTTCCAGGCCCCTCTAATATTATGCATGCTTTCCATTTTGAATTTTTATTCACACAAAAAATAGAAGATTTACTATTACTCAGAGTACTGCATTATTGTAAAAATGGTATAAATAATATCAGCATATTTGTGAAAGCATATTAGACCCAGCAATTGACATATATTGGATGTATGATGCAACCCTGCAGCATGCAGTGCATAATGAAGAAAAAAAAAAGACCATGCTTTTGGATTAAAACACGGAGTTCGAAGTGTATTTTTGTATGGTTTTTATGGTTGAATTCATGGTTTCTTGATCTCAATTGTTAGAATGAAAGATATATTACAGAAAAGGAGATGAATTTGGTTGGTTTTAGTAATGAAAATAGCTTGAAATTGAACTCAAAGTAGCAGAAATGTTCAATTTTTGCCAATGTTCAAGAGTAAACAAATGATGTCAGGCATCCAATATATGTCAGGCGGTGGGTCTAATATACATTCATGAATGTGCTGCTATTATTTATACAACTATTACAATATTGCATAACAGTAAATTTTCTATGTTTTAGTGTGAATAAAAATTCTTTGAATAAATAAAAAATAAAAATGGAATTCATCTGTAAAGCCTGGAAAGATAATTAATAAACAGAGGAAATGTTACTTTGGTGCCAGGAATGTCTGCATTGTTTATTTTGGACCCTATTTTGAAACTGGAATATTTTGAACTTTGTGTGAAATTGCCAAATTATCAATTTCTGATCACTTTACTGGATAGTTAAAACAGTTGACTGGGTAGTTTCTTGTGTTCAGTCGATAAAATAGAAGTAATACAGTACTAGCAAAAAGGCTTAGAATTTGGTTGACTGGAATAATGTAATTGGCCTAAAATAGGAGTCAAAGTGGGCAAAATTGCCGATACGTAAATATCGCTGATGCAGTAAAATTCACGATAGTGTAATTTTATCAATTTTCCACGAAATTTTGTACTTTTTGTTTCATTACCTTCAGAAAAAGATTCTCTATCATTTCATAAGAAAAAATAACAAATATTTTTTTTGAAAATTCTTGGACCCTGTGGACAAAGCATAGATCTATGGCCTGGACCCTCAAAGGGTTAAACCATAAAAACCATCCTTCTTAGAAAACACAAAGTTACTATTTTAGCCAAACAAAGTCAGAGTTTTGCTCTTCCTATCATGTGCCACATGAGGCAGGATTGTTTTTATACAGTGGTACACCGAGTTTCATACATAATTCGTTCCAGAAGGCTGTTCAAGTGACGTTACCAAACAAATTTGTTCCCACAAGGAATAGAGTAAATTAGATTAGTCTGTTTCAGACTTCCAAAAATAATTTTACAAAAGCATTTACAATAATACACTTACATAATTGTTCGAGTTGGGAGCAGTATGAAACTCGGGGTACCATTGTACTGTGCACACTCATAGCACAGACCCCTTCTCTCATATCTAGGCCAAAATTTACTGTTCTCGGCTTATGTGAGTGAGCTGAGCTCAAGGCGTAGATCTAGGTGAGGGACCCTGGCATCAATAATGCAGATCTACATGAAAGGGATCAAGTATACTAAATCCCTAATACGTACTACTGTATAAAGAATGCTGTGGAAGTGTAGGTATGAAGGTTTTCCTATCTCATCTTTTTTAATATTATGAGGTACTGTTTAGGAAATAAGTTTACTTTTGCAATAAGTAATTCATTGTGTGATGAAGTGCAGAATGTGTGGTGCTGTGATGTAATCGTTTGAGAACTGTGTAATGTAACTCTGAATTTTGACTGACAGGTGATTGCCACACAGATGGTAAATCATCTCACTGCCAACAAATGGTTTCAAGAGGTGAGGTGGTTGTTCAAGAAACCTTCTGAAAATACAATGAGTCCTCAATATAACAAAACTCTATATAATGGACTTAAGAAATATGAAACAAAATCCAATATGTCAATAGTTTCAGAAACAATGGAAATGTTTGGTGAATAAAGAATTATTGTTACTATCCATTATTGTTACTATCACACAACAATCTCTTGCGTTCACCACAAATGTCATTACCAGCCACAATCTCTCCCACTGGATAATTTTATCAAAAGTTTACTGTATTACCAATTGCTTTGAAAATAAAACTAAAAACACGTCAGTCATGTAAAACTGCCAAGCAGCAATACCAGTGTTTTTCTGTGATTTGTGAGCACAAACAAAACCTGAATTACCAGGCTGCACACCGAGATTTAGCCAAGAAATTGAATTACAGGGGTACCGGAGACCTGCAACATCTCCAGGATAATATATACAGGGAAATTATAGCATTATTTGAGTACATGTCCATGTTCTTCTAGTATTATTAAATAAATACATATTTTGGTCTAGTATTAAAAAAATATCACAATACTTACCATATGGTATACTGCTGTTCCCAATCTTTTCCTCCTGGGTATCCTGGAAGCCAAGAGAGCTTGATGCTAAATGGCTGAGTTTCAGTTGAGATGTTATACGGTGGGTGAGGTGTTGTTCCTTCCACAAGTAGCTGAGTTGCTGTTACCAAGGTAGCAATTTCATTACTAACCATGCACTCATAGTATGCATGATCACTTTTGCGAAGGTTACGGATGGTGAGGTTGCCACCCACAATGTGCGTCCGATCTCTGGGCAAGTTTTGACCATCACGCTGAGAATGTGCATTTTCATAAATAACCATTTCTCTAATTTATTACTTATGGTTAGTGAAGTAAAAAAAATGATCTATTCCCTAAACAATTGAGTCATTGTAATGTTACATATTGCATATCAGTCTCTTTTAGACTCCATGACAAGGCTTCAATAAGTAACTTCACAACAGACCTAGATACAGCTGACTGGCCTACAGAATTCTCCAGTGCTAATGATATCAATGATTGGATAGACATAATTCTTAACAAACTACCTAGACTATATAACAAACATTGTCCCATACAAATGAAACAGATTACGAATAAACGGCTAGGTTGCCCATGGCTAACCAACAGCATACTATGATCCACTAATAAGAAACATCAATATGAAAAGCAATATAGACAGGGCTTAATACACAAAGATATTATTAAACATTATGTATCAGTTCTCACCAACCTAATAAGAAAGGTTAAGCAACTGTACTACTACAATAGATTCATCGAAACAAGAAGAGATATAAAAAAGACCTGGAAGACACTCTCTCAGATTCTGGGCACCCACAAACTGAAAAAAAAAACTAGGGATATTGTCCTAACTAAACCAAATGAAACCCAGCCCCAGCCTATTGATACACTTCACAAGATAAATGACTTTTTCTCACCCACAGGATCAAATCTCGTCAGCAAAATCCCAGGTACTAATGCCCGAGGAAGCAATTACTTAGATGGGAATTTCCCAACCTCCTCCTATCTTGCACCAACTGAGCCCACAGAAATCACCACGATTATTAAGTCACTTAAAAATAAATCAGGAAATCTGGCTCAAGTTCCTCCATTACGGTACAAATGAGCTGCTCATGTTCTTTCGCCTGCTATTTCATTACTCTTTGACAAATCACTAAAAATCAGCACTTTCCCAGCACCACTCAAGATAGCAAGGGTCACGCCAATATACAAAGGTGGTGACCCCACAGATGTAAACAACTACAGGCCAATATCAAACTTACCGCTGCTATCCAAAATGTTCAAGAAACTTGTGCACAAGAGATAATATTCCTTTATAACAGCACAAAGCATCCTCAACCTCTGCCAATTTGGCTTCAGGAAAAGCAAGAGCACGAAGGACACAATTGTAAAAATGTTAGATCTGCTTTACACAGCACTTGAACAAAATGAATATCCATTAGGACCCTTTATATACTTAAGGAAAGCTTTTGATACAGTAGACCACAGCATCCTACTCCATAAACTTGATCATTATGGCAATAGAGGCCAAGCACTTACATATTTCAAATCCTACCTTACTAACAGGCATCAATGCATCTCTAATAAGGGCACAACCTCATCAACAAGACCACTGGATACTGGAGTACTGCAGAGAAGTGTCCTGGTCCCCTGCTCTTCCTCTTATACATCAATGATGTTTCTAATGTATCACAACACCTTAAACCTATTCTCTTTGGGGATGACACAACTTATGTCATCTCCCACCCTGATCTTGCCTCACTCAACACTATTGTTAACGAAGAGCTTGTAAAAATATCAACCTGGATGACTGCTAATAAACTTACACTTAATACTGACAAAACCTTTTACATTATGTTTGGGAACAGAACAGGTGTTGCCCAGCTAAACATGACGATTGACAACACTCTAATTGTTAAACATAATGATGGCAAATTCCTGGGCCTGCACCTTGACAGCAACCTGAAATTCAATACTCATATCCAACAAATAACAAAAGAAGTATACAAAACAGTTGGGATCCTCTCCAAAATACATTACTACATACCACAATCAGCCCTACTCACACTATACTACTCACTCATCTATCTCTACTGCACCTATGCTATTTGTGCCTGGGGATCAACTCACCTAAAGCCAATAATAACCCAACAGACAGCTGCAGTAAGAATTATCATGTAATCCATTGCTAGACAACACACCTCCCCACTCTTCAAAGTTCTAAACCTACTCACTGTACAGAACATTCACACCTACTACTGTGCAACCTACATCTACAGAACCATAAATTCTAATATTAACCCTGAACTAAAACACTTTCTTGGCAGTTGCAACAGGACCCATAGACACAATACCAGACACAAAAATCTCTATGACATTCCTCGTGTCTGCCTAAAATCTGGAACTCCCTACCTGAAAACATCTTATCTTCCTAACACATCCCATCATCAGCTAACCAAATGAAAACCACCTAATTCTCATTTTTTGTATCATTAACACATCCAAAATAATATAGTCTTACTCTTGTTGTCTGTAATTACCCCTAACTTACACATACACTCACCCAAATGAATATAAACATAAAATTCCTAATATAGCTATTGCCTATTAAATCTTAAGTTAGTCCTAAGTTTGCCTAATATACACCTACCATCCAACTTACGACCGAGTTCGGTTCCGAGAAACCGGTCGTAAGTCAAACTTTACTACTGAATATCAACAAAACATTTTTGTAATGACTTTATTTTATTGTTTTATTTTGGTATTTCATGTTTTACTTTACTTTTTATGTTGTTAGTACAGATCTCCCTCAACATTCACGTTTTCAGCTTTCGCTGGCTTCACACATTCGCGAATTCCCAACCGCCAAATTCCCAGCCACCAAATTCCCAGCCGCCAAATCATATTCAAGTTTCCCGCCACCTGTGAGTCCCTACTACCCTCCCACCGACCCCCGCAACTGGCAGCCAGCCCTCCCACCACTCAGTGTGGTGAGTGTTTTGTTTGTTCATTATTTGCTATTAAACTACAGTATAAATAATGAAAACACATTCATGACTGCATATTGGAATGGCTATTGTGAACAGGTTTATTGAATAGGTGACATATCATGTATTATATATATATAAACAGCAAAGAACAAACATTGCTACTGCTAAAAAAAAGAAGAAGAGAAGAAGAAGAAGAAGAAGAAGAAGAAGAAGAAGAAGAAGAAGAAGAAGAAGAAGAAGAAGAAGAAGAAGAAGAAGAAGAAGAAGAAGAAGAAGAAGAAGAAGAGAAGAAGAAGAAGAAGAAGAAGAAGAAGAAGAAGAAGAAGAAGAAGAAGAAGAAGAAGAAGAAGAAGAAGAAGAAGAAGAAGAAGAAGAAGAAGAAGAAGAAGAAGAAGAAGAAGAAGAAGAAGAAGAAGAATAATAATAATAATAATAATAATAAGATATAATTGAAGAAGGAAATTGTACAAAAATACGAGGGAGTGGTTGACACATCGTCAGTGTGGCTTTGTTTATGCTGGAGTGAACATTAGTCTCCCTGCTCTTCCAAACATTTCACAATAATTCATTGTTTGGTGCTTGTAGATTGAGTGCGACTGGAGTGGTTGAGGCAGTGGTAGAGGCAGTGACAGAGGCAGTGACAGAGGCAGTGATAGAGGCAGTGGTAGAGGCAGTGATAGAGGCAGTGGTAGTAGGCAGTGGTAGAGGCAGTGGTAGAGGAGTGGTAGAGGCAGTGTAGAGGCAGTGGTAGAGGCAGTGGTAGAGGCAGTGGTAGAGGCAGTGGTAGAGGCAGTGGTAGATGCAGTGATAGAGGCAGTGGTAGAGGCAGTGGTAGAGGCAGTGATAGAGGCAGTGATAGAGGCAGTGGTAGAGGCAGTGGTAGAGGCAGTGATAAGGCAGTGATAGAGGCAGTGGTAGAGGCAGTGGTAGAGGCAGTGATAGAGGCAGTGGTAGAGGCAGTGATAGAGGCAGTGATAGAGGCAGTGGTAGAGGCAGTGATAGAGGCAGTGGTAGAGGCAGTGATAGAGGCAGTGGTAGAGGCAGTGGTAGAGGCAGTGGTAGAGGCAGTGGTAGAGGCAGTGGTAGAGGCAGTGGTAGAGGCAGTGGTAGAGGCAGTGGTAGAGGCAGTGGTAGAGGCAGTGGTAGAGGCAGTGGGTGAGGCAGTGATATTTACTAACATATATGTTATAAATAATAATAGTACATTATGAATAACATTTATTATTATTATTATAAATGTTATTAATATTAACATGTACTATTATTATTTATAACATACGTATATGTTAGTAAATACCACTGCCTCACCCACTGCCTCTATCACTGCCTCTATCACTGCCTCTACCACTGCCTCAACCTGCTCAACAGCTGAATTATTGTGAAATGTTTGGAAGAGCAGGGAGACTAATGTTCACTCCAGCATAAACAAAGCCACACTGACGATGTGTCAACCACTCCCTCGTATTTTTGTACAATTTCCTTCTTCAATTATATCGTATTATTATTATTATTATTATTATTATTATTATTACTATTGTTATTATTAGCAGTAGCAGAAATGTTTGATTCTTTGCTGTGTTCAAGAGTAAACACATGATGTCACCATCCAATACCTGTTCAAATAGCCATTCCAATATGCAGTCATGAATGTGTTTACATTATTTATACTGTAGTTTAATAGCAAATAATGAACAAACAAAACACTCACCACACTGAGTGGTGGGAGGGCTGGCTGACAGTTGCGGGGGTCGGAGGGAGGGTAGTAGGGACTCGCAGTGGTTGAGGAAGTGGTGGAGGCAGTGGTGGAGTCTGTGGTATTTAATAACATACATGTTATTAGAGCATAACATGTATATATTTAGTACAACTTACGACGTTTTCATGTATTTTATGATTGTTCATGGTTCAACAAGTTAAGGAAGCAGTATTGTATTATAATTTCCCTACAATATATTGGGGCACCAAACATTCACGGTGTTTCAACATTCGCGAGGCTCTTGATCCCCTAACCCTCGTGAATGTTGAGGGACACCTGTACTGTATTTTATACTGTAAGGTTTAGGATAAACACTGTGTACAACACAAATAGTTGTTTATTTCCCAGAAATTTGGCATAAAAAACATGGTCATAAGTCGAGTGGTCGTAAGTCGAGCAGGTCGTAAGTCGGATGGTAGGTGTACTCTTCCAATAAAGCTTTAATAGAAACAGTGTATTATGCCAAGACAAATCCAATCCATTACCAAATTTACCATTTGTAACACAGTAGACCCTCATTTTTCGT